GCATTTTTTTTTTCTGGATACTACTTGGGACTGGTTCAAGCGCAGTCCCTTTCGTGCGGGTCTGTGTGTCGCGGAATTTGCATAACTTGTGATCAGTAGTATCCACTTAAATCCAGGGAAGTAATTCTAAACACATGGGATTATTTCGATTTATAAAACAGTTCTAAATACACACACTTACAAAGCATTCGTAGTTCGTACTTCTCGATAAGTGCTTACTCTGGTGTCCCCATGGAATACATGCATTCATCCTAAAGTAAGTTTCCATTACATTTTGTCCTCGTTTTCGATATCCAGTTGCTTTATACGATTAACATCCCACAAGAACATCCATAAGGAAGAATAAATAACTATGACATACGAAAGAATAGCACAGTAAGTGTATAAGGACACAATGAGAATCAACTTTGAGAGTAGCATTACCAGTTTTGCAATAAACAGATGTCAATCTAATATACTGACACACATTTGCAACAACAGCCATGAACTATAGGTTCTATGATATAGGTTTTCTCCCTCGGGGATATTTGCATTCACCACATGTGTCATTAGAATATAACATTACAGTAATAAATTGTGGCAAAACAGCTCTATATTATGGTAATAAATTGTTGCAAAACAACTAAATCTTGTGGTTGTTCGGATCCAAGCAGTTCAGTTACATATTTACAACATCCTTGTCCTTCTGCGTTAACCAAAATAGCGAATTCCAACTTCACTGTTACAGGACGTATAACTAAATACCTATTTATGAAAGCACAAACATCACTTCCCCTTTTTTTGCGATATCATGTCTCTCAAAATGAACCAGTGTTGTTTTCTTGTCCGAACCGTTCAGATCAATAGTCCTTGGGATATGACTCCAACAGCAGGGACCTCTATCAGGACCTGTGTAGCAATACAACGCTCAGCCTTTCCAGACAGATCGCATACACTGTACCCCGTTGTGCTTGTTTTGATATCTGAATGAAATATAGACGAATCAGTATGTACATATATTTGTACAAATATATATATACTATATATATTATATATATATATATATATATATATATATATATATATATATATATATATATATATGTGTGTGTGTGTGTGTGTGTATGTATGTATGTATGTATGTATGTATGTATATTCAGCTCTTGATTGAGCTCCTCAAGCACACACATACATACGCACGCACGCACGCACACACACACACACACACACACACACACACACACACACACACACACACACACACACACACACACACACACACACACACATACACACTCACACACACATGTACATACACAAATATATATATATACATACATACACATATGTATGTATGTATATATGTTTATGTATACATATACACATGTGTGTGTTTATACTGAGGCTACGACTACCATGATATATAAAAAGATCTTGGTAGAAACTGATCCCAAAAGTTCGCCCACAAAAAGAAGCGCAGGATAAATACAAACTTTTCAACTTGTTTTTGACTCGATATGGCGAGGAGAAAAAAATAACAGCCTTTGGGTTTTGCGGGCGAAATTAAGAAATATTATTTTAAATCCGTGTCACTTAAATTTATGTCGTTACCCTCATTCGCGAGGGGAAACGCAGGTGTTAGAGATGTCACTTTTTTTTTAGTAATATGGAATGTAAATGGCAACATCTGAGTGACGAGAAGTAATTTTTCCCCCTCTTTAAATGCACTTTAAAATCCCTGTAGAGAGAAGTCGGGATTTTGTGTCTTGTCATATAGCTCAGAGACAATGTTTTTTTATAATTTTATGTTCATTAAATCTCTGTTAATTATTCATCTTAGGTGTTTGGTTCAGTTTGAAGTCTATGAAAAAAGGAGTCTCGTCCTGTTTTCGTTTTTTTTTTTGTTTTGTTTTGTTTTCTTTACAATTTGTCTTTGATGGTTTTATTTTTCTTTGTGGTGGGTCTTAGGCTCTGTTTTCGAACTTTTGTTGCTATGTCAGGTAAGACAAGGATGGTGATTATGCACGCATCTAAAAAAAGGGTATTCACTAAACCGCTAAATAGCCCTTCTCTCTCTCTCTCGGTCTCTGTCTCTGCCTCTCTCTCTGCCTCTCTCTCTGTCTCTCTCTCTTTCTCTCTGTCTCTCTGTCTCTTTCTCTCTCTCTCTTTTCCTCTCTCTCTCTCTCTCTCTCTCTCTCTCTCTCTCTCTCTCTCTCTCTCTCTCTCTCTCTCTCTCTCTCTCTCTCTCTCTCTCTCTCTCTCTCTCTCTCTCTCTCTCTCTCCCTCTCACGGTCTTCGAGTCCCCAGTTTGCCAGCGAATTCCCCATCATTTAACCTGCAGTGTATACAAAAACGTGTGTGTAATATATATATTTTTTTACCATCTTACTTACAGTTTCATAATGGGTGTACAATCTCTGTGTACAATCTGGGATACATCTTTTTTCTTATATTTTCTATTCTTCTTCTAGTTGCTTGATTTAAGTGGACGGAATTAATGCTAACCCTTCGTTTTTTTGTTTTTTTTTTGTGCATTTTGCTTATTAGTTTATCTTGTTAATCTATTTATTTGGATCTAGAGCAGTTGCTTGTCATATTATTTCGTTCAAGAACTTTTCGTTCTTTAACTGATGCTGTTCATTTCACTTTGTTTCGTCTGTTGATTTGTCCTGAATTCGTCAGCCATTTTGATTTGAATTTTCGCTTTCTACTGTACATCAAACGGCTTTGTTCTCTCTCTCTCTCTCCTTCTCCTTCTCTCTCTCTCTCTCTCTCTCTCTCTCTCTCTCTCTCTCTCTCTCTCTCTCTCTCTCTCTCTCTCTCTTTCTCTCTCTCTCCCCTCTCTCTCTGTCTCTCTCTCTCTCTCTCTCTCTCTCTCTCTCTCTCTCTCTCTCTCTCTCTCTCTCTCTCCTCTCTCCTCTCTCTCTCTCTTTCTTTCTCCAGCTCTAACTGTGAACCACTCTTAGACGAGTAAACAATATTAGCGTCGTTTTACCAAGCTTTTCAGATGCCTGTCTCTCTCTCTTATAATGCATAGGCAGCTGGATAAACATCTGCTCGCAAATTTGAATTTCAGAGAGAAACGTGAAGTAAGAGGAACTTGATTTCTATTATTGGTATTACCTCCTTAAAAAGAAAAAGAAAAAAGAAAGAAAGGAAAAAAGAAAAACTGCCAGAATGAGGTTATATATTAAAAAGAAATAAAATCCGCGGAATTTATTGATTTACGCTCTCTCTATCTATTACCTACTTTGTTTTCACTAATTATCCTAAAAGAAACCTTCCTCTTCAATATAATTCTGGAAAATAAGGGACTGCTCATCAACCCTTCCCCTTCTACTGTTACACGACAGTTATTTCAAATCCTAACTGCCGTGTAACCCATGGCAACAAACAGTTTTTTTTAAGAGGATTGAATCAAAGTGGAAGATAGTAGGACTGACCTGTATTGGCTGGTTGCTCCACTCTCCGAATCCACCTCAGTGCCAAGGGTGGAGCAGTTGTTACCAGACACACACTCACACTGACCTATTTTTCTTGCGAGCTTGAAAAGTAAGCCACTAGAACACCCAATTGTTGTAAACCGGATGCTTGCTTGCTTTTGTCACTCCACAGTGCGTGGCATCGAAGTGCCTTTCCTCCTGAACGAAAAAATACCCAAGACTTACACACACACACACATACACATATACATATATATATATATATATATATATATATATATATATATATATATATATATATATAAGTACAAAAATACATACATGTACATATGTACATATATGTGTGTGTGTGTGTGTGTGTGTGTGTGTGTGTGTGTGTGTGTGTGTGTGTGTGTGTGTGTGTGTGTGTGTGTGTGCATGTATGTGTTATATATGTATGTATATATATATATATATATATATATATATATATATATATATATATATATATAATATGTGTGGGTGTGTGTGTGTGCATGTATGTGTTATATATGTATGTATATATATATATATATATATATATATATATATATATATATATATATATATATATATAATATGTGTGTGTGTGTGTGTGTGTGTGTGTCTGCGTGTGTGCATGTGATTAAACAGCCATAGATAAATTAAACATTCGCCGATACTCTCATTTTACACAGCAACTGCATCGTAAAAAAAGTACAGACTTAGACAAACCAAACAAACAAAAACCAACGAAAGGAAAACAAACTTGTTTTCAACCTCCTCCTAAACTAGCACTTGAGCGACGCGGATTCCCTAGATTGAGTGATCAAAGTGTAACACGAATAGAAGTGCTTGATATAGAGCGAGTACACGCACTCGCCTGCACTTGTTATTCTATTTCTCTGGAAACGTCGAGAATCGGTGAGAGTCTTGACTGAGGAAAATAGGACATGATAGATAGTATACGTTTATTTTTTTTATTCGTAGTCCAATGTATATGACAATTGTATGTGCATTTTGGTATGCCTGTATATCTGCATTATATATTTCTATCTATGTTTATTTATCTATCAATATATGTATATATATAGAGGCAGATATATATAGATACAGATATATAATCTACAAATACATATACATTTACGTATACACACTATATCTGTGTTTGTAGTCATCTGAAATTGTATGTCTATTAGAAAAACTGAATTTATCTGAACAGAACATATAGGCCTACGCACCTATCACTTGTAGAAGCGCACATTATGTGTTTACCGAGATGAAAATCATGCAAATACCTACAGGTTTACAAAACGTAACAATCTGAGGAAAAGCTCTCTCAGATATCAAACGGGTTATTCACAACAAACAGAAAGTCGAGGTTCTATCTAGCCGTTGTAAACTCGTGCAATGGATCAGCAGGTCAGCGCTGTTGTGTGGGAAGCAACACTGCGATTTTTGAGTCCCAAATAACTATCCCCCAGAAACACAAAGGAGACAGAAGGAGAAGAAGAAGAAGAAGAGGAAAAGGGGGTACGCGGCGACTGAGTGGAGGCTCCGGTTCTTAAGCGGAGGTTATTGACGGCCGCCGCACTCAGCAGCCAGTGCTCTTCCAACGGTCGTGAGAGGAAGCTACGTTCGCTGGGCTCTCTGGCGCGAGGTCCATGTGGCACTTTCTTTGTCTCGGGTGACAGCCTTAGTACTTTTTTATTGAGAGTGATGTCGACAATTTAACATTTGTGGTTTGAATTGTACATTGTGATACGCTTTTTAGCGCTCCATCGCTTATTCTTTATCGAGTTTCCATGGAAAAGTACCTTAGAACTGAATGCACATGATTGGAAACTGATACGAAATAGGAAGTTGGTGAACCAGCATCTCTGCGCTAATCAGTACAGGCGACCTCAGAAGAAACAGTTTCGACGGAGGTTTTCATGCAACAAAGAAGTTAGTGTTTAGTTGACATAACACCGCAGGCGAGAAGAGCGAGTGCTAGCAAGCGCCAAGTTTCAGCTCTGCATCCCAAAGTGACTCATTGATTTTTGTCAGGGAATGAGTGTGTAGTAAGCTCGGAGACGCACACACTCCCCTAGATGGTAGACAGATAACGAAGACTCGAGACCTAATGGTTAACGCTCTGAGTCGAAATCCAGCTCGACTCGTCGTCATAACAGCAACACTCCTAAGGGGTTTGAGTAGATTTGGTCAGTATCTGGCCCTTATAGGTTACCTATCCGTCAGAGATTTTCCAGGCAGGTAGTCTGAATAGTTTTGAAGGAAATTTCGCTGCATAAGCCTCAGATTTGATTTATATCGGATGTCTGAGTCTTAGGGAAGATTTTTGCAAAGAAATCCTGCAGAGTTCTTTGTTTACTGTGATCACCTGTTTGCCACCTTCCGCGCGCGCTGTCCGTAGAGTTCAGAGTTACAACTAGCATCTCGTAACATTTACACCTTCAAGTATATTTACATACACGGAGAACCACCAATCTTCAGCCAATATTATGTATACCCGCTACGTTCCGACCTTTAAACGATAGTCTCCAGAGATAAGATTGTGCTACGTGAAAAGGTGCTGAAGGTAACAGCACAATCACCACACACAGCTGGTTATCTGGTGACCAGCATTCACCGTAGTCTCATCTTGAAGATCTCCCCGCTAGTAGTGAAAGTCACTCGTAGTGAAAGTATGTTCTGCTCTCTGTCAAGTCGATGCGCATCCACGAAGCACCATTAATTGAATAGCCAACCAGACTGATAAATCTGCAAGCTCATATTCCGAACTAGCTCGAAGAAAGAAGAGGAAGTGGTCAGTCAGTACAAGAAGCGAAGCGATAACTCGCTAACCCTCGGTGGCGTAGAGAGAGAACCACAAACCGGTTCAACAAGCTCGTGACAAAACCCTGCCACCGCTACCGGTCTCTTCCACCCCCAGTCATGACGGTCCCACAGCACGAAGTATCTCCCAGGAAGGGGGACATGGAAGACGAAGGCGATGAGAGGCAGGAGGTCAAGACCATGCCGACGCCCCCCGACGGAGGCTGGGGATGGGTGGTCGTCTTCGCCTCCTTCATGATCCACGTCTTTGGTAAGTACATGTGGAGACAAATTCTTTCGGGAAACGTTTGCTGGGGTCTAGGGGGAGGGGGGTAGCTAAATGAAAATTTGTTTTTTGTTTGTAAAATGGGGTTAAGAAATGTTTCGATACTTGCTATTCACGAAACGAGGGCTATGCAAGACTGTAAAATGCGTGTATATATGTAATTTGGTTAAGAACGGCATTGGTGTCATGCAGAAGGGAATTCGTTCAGGAAACGTTTGTTGTCTGAGTCCGCAATGAGGTGTTGTGAGCGTTTGTTCGTTGATGTCAGCAGAACTGTCCTTTTAAAGGAAATACGAAAGATATGCGTCATTGTTATTTTTGTACTCGGGAGGAAATTATTAGGAAATTACGAAGCATATTACAGAATACTGACAACTGAATTACTTTCCGGAATTTAGGGAAAGGGGTCTTGAACTGTGGAACGTCTGAAATGCATGCAGATACGGATACAGTTCATTCAGCTCTGCAATATAAATGTAGGCCTATTGTTCTTCCTGACCCCAACCCCCACTTCGTTGCAGACGCAGCTATTTCAGTTTGTCGTGAGGGGCAGTTTATGTCATGAGTTTAAAAACAAAGTAATGGAGTATTTTACAACAGCTTCATAGGCAGGTTTCTCAACTGCAGCTGAGGGTGATAGGATCTTGTTGCCAAGTTACAAATAGGATAAAAATAACTTGAAACTGTGACTGAAGTAGTAGCACATTATATGTGTGTGCGTGTGGGTGTGGGTGTGGGTGTGGGTGTGGGTGTGGGTGCGGGTGCGGGTGTGTGTATGTGTGTATGTATGTATGTATGTATGTATGTATGTATGTATGTTTGTATGTTTGTGTCTCAGTTTGAGAGAGAAAGACAAAAATTGTGTGCGTGTGGGCTCTTAATATTTCAGCTGATATCAAATCCCGATATTCGTGCAAATAGTCCTAATCTTCAAAACAATATGTAGGCCACTCTGCGATTAAGTATTTAATCTTTATACATGTCTTATCTCCTTTAATGAATCGAGTTGGCGTCGATAAGATCTGTAAATAAGTGATTTGTGAAGTCATTTCAGCTTGACTTCGCTTATCCACACATGCTCACGTGGGGTAGAGGGTGAGGCGCAGTTTGTAATCTAGGTGAATTCATAGCTAAAACTCCCATGAAACTGAGTACTCTAGCCTACGGTATTCTATCATATTCAGGAGACTGGGAGGTCGAATCGTGTGTCATTGTATTACGGCGAAATAATAACAAGAAGTAGATTATTCATCACCATTTAAGAGACGGCAACAGGAGAAAATCTTAGAAATGCGAACCATTACGATTATTATCTCGTCCATGCGCTCTTTATCTAGCCACCTACGCGTCTGTTTGAAAAAAAACGATTTAGATAACATGATTCAGAAGTGTCACCATCTCGAAGAGGTGTTTATGATATCGTATCTGTCACCTTGGGGAATCAGAGCCAGTTTGAACTTGATAATTATTATTTTTTGTCCCCAGAAGAATGCCGTATCTCACACACAATAGAAAATGGTAGCAGAAAAGATGAGTCTTTAGGCCTACTCTGAATTGGACATTGGACCTTAACGACACTGATGTTATTTGCCATTGTCTAATGATTCCAGAACATTAAGAACCTTTAAGTGGATACATGGCTGTGCTGTTATTCGGCTACGTACTTGGTGGAGTACTTTGTAAAGATTAGATAAGGAGATTTTATTTTCTAGTGAAGATTAGGCTATATGAGATTAAGTGGCCGGAAAATTGTCAGGGTCAGATAGGTCGAGAAGAGATAATTCTTGAAAATTGGGGGCTATTTTTATCTACATATCACACGCACGCATGCACGCACGCTCGCACGCACGCACACACACACACGCACGCACGCACGCACGCACACACACACACACACACACACACACACACACACACACACACACACACACACACACACACACACGCACACACGCACGCACGCACGCACGCACGCACACACACACACACACACACACACACACACACACACACACACACACACACACACACACACACACGCACGCACGCACGCACACACACACACACACACACACACACACACACACACACACACACACACACACACACACACGCACGCACGCACGCACACACACATTCACACACTGCTTAGGTGCTTGTCCTGTAAACCTCATATTTAAACGTGGGAAGTTGTCCTTGTTAAAAATTACTTCTCAGAAAGCAACAGTGACAGAAATAGAAATCAAAAGACATACAAGCCTACAGCCAGTCAGCCAATGACAGATAGCACACAGACAGACACAGATAACCAGCCAGCCAGTCAATCAGAGACAGACAGACACACTAACATACAGCCAGTCAGTCAATCAGACACAGACAGACACACAAACATACAGCCAGCCAGCCAATGGCAGATAGCAGACAGACAGACACATATAACCAGCCAGTCAGTCACTCAGAGACAGACAGACACACAAACATCCAGCCATCAGCCAGCCAATGACAGATAGCAGATAGACAGACACAGATAACCAACCAGCTAGTCAATCAGAGACAGACAGACACACAAACATCCAGCCATCAGCCAGCCAATGACAGATAGCAAACAGACAGACACAGATAACCAGCTAGCCAGTCGATCAGAGACAGACAGACACACAGACAGGCAGAGACACTTCACGAACACTTCACGAACTCCCCTCTCCACCCAACCCTTGGTACACGTAGACCGGAAATCTCAACGTGGCTCCACCTCTCCACCTCTCCACCTCTCCACCGATGTCTTCCTTCACTAATACCCACCAGTGGCTACTTCCACCGATGTCTTCCTCCACTGACGCCCTCCTCCACCGATACCCTCCTCCACGAATACTCTCTTCCACCTGTGCCCTCCACCGATCCTCTCCTCCACCAATAGCCTTTTCCACCAACACCCTCTCCCACCTATGCCTTATTCCACCAATACCCTCCACGAATACCCTCCTCTACCAAAACCCTATTCCACCATTACCCTCCTCCACCTATGCCCTCCACCGATCCTCTCCTCCACCAAAACCCTCCTCCACCGAGATCCTCCTCCACCGAGATCCTCCTCCACCTATGCCCTCCACCGAGATCCTCCACCTATGCCCTCCACCGAGATCCTCCTCCACCTATGCCCTCCACCGAGATCCTCCTCCACCTATGCCCTCCACCGATACCCTCCACCGATGCCCTTCACGCCGGTGCCACAGAGACTCACTCCTCTCGTCCCTCCCCCTTTCCCTGTTCGGCCATGACACGCGCGCTCGGCCAGTCATTCGAGTCATTGTCACGTACGTTGTGTTTGCGTGCGTTCTCTGCGTGTGCCTGGAGCGACCTTAATCTCCTGGCGTTTTTTTTTCTCTTTCTTTTCTTTTCTTTTTTTTTCTTTCTCTTTCTTTATTTGTTCTTAGTTTTTGGTGTGTGTATTTGTCTGTTTCTGTCTCTTTGTTTCTCTCTCTCTCTCTCTCTCTCTCTCTCTCTCTCTCTCTCTCTCTCTCTCTCTCTCTCTCTCTCTCTCTCTCTCTCTCTCCTCTTTGTTATATCAACAACAAAAGAATCGATGCCTTAGTTTAAAGGGTATGGCATGGCCTTGCATGGGTTGGAGGCGTGTGGATGAGCGAGGAAGAGACGTACAGACAGGCAGGCAGGGAGGATAGGAGAGAGGCAGACTGGCTGACTGACAGACAGACAGAACGACTGGCTGACTGACAGACTGACTGACTGACAGACAGACAGAATGACTGGCTGACTGATTGGCTGACAGACTGACTGACTGATCGACTGACTGACTGGCAAACAGACAGAAAAACAGATTGGCTGGCAGACACACGCACACACGCACACACACACACACACACACACACACACACACACACACACACACACACACACACACACACACACACACACACACACACACACACACACACACACACAAAGACCTGCAGATAGGCATACCGACAAGCAGATAGGCAAAAAGACAAACAGACACAGACAAACAAATAGATAAAGAAAGTATTTTGATTGATTTATATATGCTTCTTGTTTTCATTGATACTGATATTTTTTTATCGCTATTAGTATAAAAAGATATATTTTATTATTATTACTACTACTACTACTATTACTATAACTTTTACTATTATTTCCATTATCACTATCATTATGCTATTACCATTACCATTACCATTACCATTACCATTACCATTACCATTACCTTCATCATCATTATTATTATTCATACAATTTTTGCGTAAGTGCCTCCCTCCTCTATGCCCGTCCTCTACCCTCATAAGGCGGCGACCTCACTTGTACGACCTCCGGCGTGATGCGCACGTGATAGCACAAGGAACCAGGTCGTGTCTGGCTGGAAAAATATCACAGTTAAAAAAGGTTTAATTAAGAGAAAGTTCGCCACCACGTTTCGGATAAAGGTGTAGTTCTATTCTGGATGGGGGGGGGGGGACACCTGTGTTGTATCGCCTCCTTCTTGCATATGTTATTGCGTTTGCGTATTTTTGGACTTGAGATATATCTTTCACTATTATGTACAAGAGGATATGCCGATAGAAAGGACGAAAGACAAGGATAGACAAATAAAGGGGATGGAGTGGAATGGTAGGCAAGCTAGCAGACAGACAGACAGACAATCCAACACAGCCAGCTAGCCATTACAAGACAGACAGATAGACAGACATTCAGACAGATAACCACAGAACGAAGGAGGGAAGGGAGGAAGGAAAGGGAAGAGTCATCGAACGCGAAATCTAGGTCAGTGTGAGGGAGGGGTTAGAGGTGGGGGGGAGGGGAGGAAGGGGGCGTGGCCAGCGCGGGCAAGAGGTCGAAGGAGATAAATAAGTTTGAATCGTGTTTGTCTAAGGTCAGTCAATCAGCTCGAGTGCTCGTTTTGGGCTTAATGGGTTGGGTGGTTAAGGTTGCATAATTGTTGAGAGACTTTTTGT